ACGAAATCAATAAATGAGACAGGATGTTGAAAATTTGAAAGAACAAATAATGAAGATTTTGGACCTACGCATCGCACAGAAAGGAAAATCAGTGGCAGAAGCACCACACTACAGCGATGTCATCGGAGGACTAGAGGATACCCCACTTTATCCTCCTAGTTTCACCCTACAAGTACCTCCACATAATGACATGACTGTTGTACCTGGTCAACCAATTTTTTACACTCAAACACCCCAATTGTTTCATTTGGAAAAGAGACAACTTAAAACCAAACATTCATGGTGTCTGAACAAGTTCACCATTTTGTGCAACAAAGAAAGGATATGAATGATTCTATTCATATTCATGAATGTTGCAACTTTGGGAAAGTCACAGAAAAAGTCGAAGATTTTGCATCAAAAGGAAAGTTAGATTTCCTAGAAGAATGACTACGGGCCATAGAAGGCGCTGACACATTTGGAAGCATAGGTGCAACATAATTGTGCTTAATGACTGATATCGTTATCCCTCCAAAGTTCGAGGTACCCGAGTTTGAAAAGTATGATGGGATGTCTTGTCCAAAAAACTATTTGATCATGGATTGCAGAAAAATGGCGGCACGTGTCCATGAGGAGAAGCTTTTGATATATTTTTTCCAAGGTAGCTTGACTGGTCCCACATCCAGTTGGTATATGCAGCTAGATGGAGCTTATGTGCATAAATGGAAATACTTAGTAGATCTTTTCATCAAACAATATAAGCATAACCTAGACATGGCCCCAGATCATTTGGATCTCCAACGACTAGAAAATAAAAGCATGGAGACCTTTAAAGAGTATACACAAAGATAGAGAGATATGACAACATAGATTCAACCTCCACTAATGGACAAAGAAATGACAACCATGTTCATAAACACTCTTCGATCTCCTTATTATGATTGAATGATTGGAAATGCTTCCACAAATTTCTCAGATATCATTACTATTGGAGAAAGAATTGAATATGGAGTGAAATATGGAAGGATCATGCATACAACATCAAATTCAAGTAACAAAAAGAGTTTTATTCCAAAAAAGAAAGAAGGAGAAGTCCACGAGATTAGTTATGGTCAGAAACCACTTATTGGAAATCTGAAGCCTATACATTACCCGACGACCAGCAACAAACCTCGAAGTTCTTACAATAGGCCATTAGATGCTCGTGATTCGAACGTGCCTGTTGCTTCAAAAAGTTACAAAAACAATTTAAGGAATAACTATGATCCAATCCCTTTAAAATATACGGAGCTGCTTCCATAATTAATTCAGAATCGATAAGTTGTTTCGATATCTATAGAACCTATGCAGCCACCATATCCAAAATGGTATGATCCTGATGAATGATGTGATTACCACTCAGGGGCAATTGGGCATTCAATAGAAAATTGGTATTCACTCAAGGGGAAGGTGCAGGATTTGATGAGGGCAGGATGGCTTAAATTTCAAAAGGCAGAAGAGGTACCTGATATCATGTAAAATCCACTTCCTAATCATGGGAACCGATTAGTTAATGCCATTCACGTAGGAAGATATTGACTTTATATATCGAGATTTGATAGATGATTATCTGAATTACAGTGAAACAATGTGTTTAGTATGAGAAAATGAAGCAGAAGGCCATTTTGTAAATATGGTCACGAGAGAGGATGCATCGTCTAGTTTTTCACCCAAGCTAGAACCATTGGTGATTTTTTTTAAAGAACAATTTGCATACATCCTAGTTGCTCCATCAGTATCTCAGTCTTTTACTATTCAAATTCCTATGTCCTACAAATATAAGGATAATAAAGTAGTACCATGGAATTATGGTTGTCATACTCTCGATAAGGAAGCACCCATTGTGACTAACATTTCTGGAATTAGTGGAATGACTAGAAGCGGAAGATGCTACGACCCTGAAGCCTCAAAAGCATCACAAATTGATGAGCAGCACAAAATTCAGATTGAAAAAGGAAAAGTGAAGGAGCGCCTTGATCTAAAGGAAAATTGGGCTGATGAGCCTATTATAGTTAAAGGAAGTTCATCTAAGAAAATAGTATCTGATGAAGAAGTTTTTGAAGTTGATCCAAATAGAGTGAGTATAAAGTGATCAAACAATTGCATCGCACGTCGGCTCGTATATCCATATGATCATTATTCTAAATTTCGAACCACATCACAAAGCTTTAATGAATGTTTTGAGAATCGTGGGAGACATTACCTCTTCCAATACTATTACTTTTACTGATAATTACACTCGAAGGAAATGTGTATATTAAAGCAATGCACATAGTGGTAAAATGCAAAAACTACATGATAGCAAAGGTCCTTATCGATAATGGATCATCTATAAATGTGATGCCAATGTCAACGCTACTAAAGTTGCTTGTAGATTCAACTCACATTAAGCACGGTAGCATGGTCGTGAGAGCTTTTGATAGGACCCGCAGGAGAGTTGTGGCCGATATTGAATTACTCATCAAGATTGGGCTTCGTACCTTCAATGTGACATTTCAAGTGATGGATATAAGTCCAACCTATAGTTGTTTGTTGTGAAGGCCATGGATAGTAAAGGGAACTGAAGGGATGCTATTGGTGCTATCGGTACTGCTCTCGTTATCATCGGCGGATATGCTTTTCTATTAGCGGGGGTCTTTCTCTACTGCTGTTGGTATCGGCTTCTGGATATGCTTCTGCTTTTACTGATGCTTATGGATTACTTGTTGGATCAAATCTAAAAACGTCTCAATTTGATCGGCCTGACCATTCAGCAGAGGTTATTCCATCGACTTTACATCAGAGATTGAAGTTTGTTTTTTAGCACACCTTAATATGCATATAAGATCACTTTACCGCATGAAAAAATAATCGAAACCATCAACTTAGGAATAGATAGTGAGATTAAATAAGTCCAAATTGGAGGTACCAATAAAAAAGAAAGTCGAGGTAAGTTAATAGAGTTGTTACATGAATACCACGACGTGCTTGCTTGGTCTTATCAAAATATGTCATGACTAGATACGAATATAGTTGTACATCGTTTGCCATTAAAGGATGGATGTGGATCAGTTCGTGTTGTTAAAAATCAAAGAAGAAGTGAAGAAACAATTGGATGCAGGTTTTCTCGTAGTAGCAGAATACCCTGAGTGGGTTGCCGAAATAGTACCAGTTCCTAAGAAAGATGAGAATGTCAAGTGTATAGACTATAGAGATTTGAATCAAGTAAGTTCTAAGGACAACTTTCCTTTACCACATATTGATGTTTTGATTGATAACACGGCTGGGTTTTCAACATTCTTCTTTATGGATGGTTTCTCTGGATACAACCAAATTAATATGGCACATGAGGACTAAGAAAAGACAACTTTTATTACATCGTGGGGTACATTTTGTTACAAGGTTATGCCTTTTAGTCAGAAAAGGCTGAGGCAACATATCAGAGAGCCATGGTTACTTTATTCCATGATTTGATGCATAAAGAAATTGAAGTATACGTGTAACGCCCTGCGTTACTCAGGTTCGGTTAAGCCCAAGTTCGAGTTTCGTCCCAATTTATTTATTTTTATTATTGGATTTACATCGATTTATTTTATTTTATTTCATTTTGTTTGTTCTATTTTAAACTCATAGTTTTATTTTATTTCATTTTGTTTGTTCTATTTTAAACTCATAGTGGGTCGCATGAGTTGTCTGTGAATTTTAATTATTCTTACTTTTAGTGTTTTTGCTTCGACTTCTCTTTGGGAGACTATTAGTGAAAGAAGAAATTTAGTCTATTTTAATCCATGGGCCCATTTTTAAATTTGGGCTTTTAGGGTTTAAACCATGTGGCAACGGAAACAAAATAAGGGTGGGAGAAGCCAAGAAAGAAGGGAAAAAAAACCTAAAGGTAAGCAATTTGTTTTGTTTTCTTTTTCTTTTTCCCTCATTCACGTAAAACCCCTTTCCCCTCAACCTTCTTCTTCTTACTTCTTTTTCTTTGCCCAGTCGTCAGCCTCCCTGACAGTACCCGACGACACACTCTAGTGGACGACGGTGCAACAGGCATCTCGGCGGCAACGGAGTTCCGCTCCATTTCGCGGTGTTTCGAGGTGGGCGCGGCGGTCTGTGGTGTTGAGCGACGTCTCGAGGGTTTGGTGGCGGCCAATGATCCATCTCAACTCAGTATGGGAGACCCCCACACCCTTGTGGCAATGATTAGGGCTGTAAGGACGTTTTCGGTGTGTATGCTGCTATAAAAAATGCAAACAGTTGTTTTCTTCGTGTTTGGCGATTACCCATTTCCGTTTGAGGCCCAATTCATGCTACCCACACCTATCCACACTAGATCTAAGTCGCCTACACCTAAACGAAGTCGATTTCGTGGTAAAGGGACTTTCGAATCCCTTTAGAATGGTTTTCCATGGCTGAAAGTTAATAATGACTTGCTGTTTTTTTTCATTTTATTGTATAGGTGCTAAAAACGACGTAAGAACTAGGAACGTGGGAGTGTGTAAGTAGTATTAGGGGCGGGTGCGTGTGTTTTGTGGGCTGTTGGAAATGTTTTGGCATTTAGTTATGTTTATCATGTATCTCATGTATTTATGATTATCGGAAGTGATAGTTATGGTGATTAAACGCATGATCTGATGTTGGTCGTTTGTACTAGCGATATGTTGCTGGAGATATTGGTTGAATTTGTGTAATGTTTTAAGTGCTAAATGTGCGTAATAGTACCTGTTGGGAAAGATATGGTTTAAGGCCTTTGAGAGTTGTTATTTTTGTTACATTATAAAAAGCATGTTGAAGTTGTCTGCTGAGGTTTGATTTGAGCAAAGTGTCACTGTCTATTTTTGTAAGTAGTTTTTACTTGAGGGGTGATTGTTCTTCGAAGCATGAGTTGCTTGTTGTTTGTGTGTGTACGACGATTCGAGTTTTTTATAATGCTATTGGCCTATTCGATGATGAGCTATGGAATATATAGGTTGAATCTTGCATGTGAATAGGTTAGCTGTAGCACTGTTGTGTGAAACTATTGGATGTAATTCTGAATTGAGTTGGTTATGTTGTAGTTGGGCGTGTTCTTAAAAGTTTTATAAATTGTTATGTGGAAAGCTTGTTATGTAAAGCATGCTGAAAGGTTATTTGTTGAAGCTTTTGTGTTCTATACGTTGCGAGCAGGTTAGCTGCTGTTAGAGTATGTGTTATTGAGGTTCATGATGCATTACAATCATACTGGATGATTTGTTGTGGATAGACGTTGCAGTTAGTTTAATAGGGAGCTAGTATTAGAATCTTGTTGGAGGCTAGAAATGTTATGTAGAGTTTGGATGTTATGCTAGAGGAACCAGTGAGTGTCAGGGCCCCGAGTACAAAGGTCGAGGGCTGATGCGGCATTATTGGGTGTCGAGGCTCCGGGAACAGAGGCTGGGGATCGATATACCAGTCTCAGTACGGAAGAATGTCGAGGCCCCGAGTACAATGGTCAAGGGTCGGCATGAAGGAACAAATCATTAAACATGCATGGCTAGTTGGGTGTCGAGGCTCGGGGTACAAAGGTAGGGGGTCGACACGCCAACTTGGTTAAGATGGGTTTCGAGGCTACGGGTACAAAGATCGGAGATCAATACACCAGTTTTGGTAGAGATGAGTGTCGAAGCCTTGGGTACAAAGGTCAAGGGTCGAATGCCAAGTTTATGTGAAGGAATGTTGGGACCTTGGGTACAAAGGTAAAGGACCGACACGAAGCGAAGAGGGAGATATGAAAAATTAAGGTGGCGACAAGGGTTAGGAAGTGCTGTTGTCGGGAGTTAGCGGGCTAAGAGGTGTGAGTGGTGTTATTCGGAATGTTTGGCGTCTGTTGTCAACCTTATAACTTGCTGACTATCTGAATTGTTAGTTTAATATATATGTAATCGTATTGCATATTGTATGTTTGGCATGCTGGTGGTGTGTAGTTAGTGAGGGCTACTTACGGAGTATTTTATATACTCGCCCCCCATCTCTACAATTATTGTTTTTCAGGTAAGGATTGGAGTTACAACCATGGTGGTGATGTGGGGAAGACTCGACTGAGGAAGGACCACTAGGCTGCATTGCACTCGTTTTCTTTTTCTGTTAGGATAGTCGTATTTCCTTTTTACTTATGGATGTACCAGTTTGGTGATGTTTAGGGATGGCTTGGTGGGTGCTGTCTGATGGGTCTGAACATTTTTAGCTCCTAGAGTAGATGTTATCTTTGTGCACTTAGACTTGTAACGAGTATTGACTACTGTTTAAAATAGGATTAAACATGAATTTATGTTTGTTTAGCCCATGGAGGGCGAGTTGATTCTTTGGTTATTGGAATAATTTTGGACCTTATGACTATTGTTAGTTTTCATTATCTGTTTTAAGGGCAAGGGTGTACATGTAGATGGTTAACGTTACCCTAGGTGCATTGTTGAAATTCGGGGGCGTTACAATACGCCGATGATATGATTGTAAAATCTCGTCTTGGAGAAGAGCATGTAGCCACATTATGCAAGTTGTTTGAACGTTTGAGAAAGTTTTAGCTTAAGTTCAATCCATCAAATGCATCTTTGGAGCTTATTCGGGAAAATTGTTAGGCTTTATTGTTAGTCAAGAAGGGATCAAGGTTTACCCGGACAAAGTCAAAACTATAGTTGAAATTAAACCTCTTCAAACTCAAAAAGAAGTCAGAAGCTTCCTCGGAAGATTGAATTACATAGCAAGGTTCATTTCACATTTGACAGCAACGTGTGAGTCGATTTCAAAGCTCCTTCGTAAAAGTAATATGATTAAGTGGAACAATGAATGTTAAATTGCATCTGACAAGATCAAGTGCCATATGCAAAATCTGTCAGTGTTTGTCCCCCCAATGCCAGGTTGTCCGTTCATTTTATATCTAACAGTATTAGATGAGTCTATAGGTTGTGTTTTAGGACAACATGATATCTCAGGCAAGAAGGAACGAGCCATTTATTAGTTGAGTAAGAAACTTACAAGCTATGAGGCTAATTATTCGTTACTCGAAAAGACGTGTTATGCATTAGCTTGGACACCTCATCGACTCAGACATTACATGTTATACTACACGACATGACTCATTTAAAAAATGGACCCAATAAAGTACATATTTGAAAAGCCATCATTATCAGGAAAAATTGTTGGCAAGTTTTGCTTTCAGAATATGATATAATTTATGTCATGAAAAAGGCGATCAAAGGAAGTGCTCTTGCAGATTATCTAGCAGATTCACCTTTGGGAGACTATGAACCAATAAGCCTAGATTTTCTTGATGAAAATATTGTGGAATAAAATAGGGAAAAGAAATCTCAGATCCCGACCTTTGGATTATGTTGTTTGACGGAGCTTTAAATGACCTGAAGCAGAAATTGGTGTAGTACTAATTTCTCTATAAAAGAAATTATTTCCGCTAACTGCCAAACTGTACTTCAATTGTACTAATAATATTGCAGAATACGAAGCGTGCAGTATGGAAATTCGAGTAGTGTGTGACATAAATGTTAAAAAATTACAAGTCTATGGAGATTCGTTACTAGTGATACACCAACTTAATGACGAATGAGAAGCTCAATACCATAAGTTGATTCCATATAAAAAGAACATACTAGACTTATGACAAGATTTCGTAACCGTCGATTTTGATCATATCCCACAAGAAAGCAATCAAATTCCTGATGCATGAGCAATATTGCCATCCATGTTTATTGTTGAGCTAAATGAAGAGGTAGAATCGATCAAGATCGAAAAGCAAAAAGTTCGTGCATACTGTCTCTATATTGAAGAAGAAATAGATGGAAAGTTCTGGTATTTCAACATTAAGCAATACATACATAATAGGGAATGTCTCGAGGGAATTTCAGAAAATGATAAGCGAACTTTAAGGAGACTCGCTATGAAATTCTTTTTGAATGGAGAAGTGTTGTACAAAAGGACTTACGATATGGTCTTCCCTGAAATGTGTTGATGCAAAAGAAGCAAACAGTATTATGAAAGAAGTCCATGATGTTATTTGTGGTACTCGCATTAATGGTCACATAATGTCTAGACAGATCCTTCGCACCGGATATTATTGGCTAACAATGGAGTCTGATTGGGTCAACTATGCTAGAGAATGCCATAAGTGTCAAATATATGTAAACAAGATTCATGCTCCAGCATCCACATTATATGTTTTGTCAGCATCCTAACCCTTTTCCATGTGGGGTATAGATATCATTGGCCCGATCGGGCCCAAAGCTACCAATGGACATCGCTTTATTCTTGTAGTCATTGATTCTTTCACAAAGTCTGTGGATGAAGCTTCATATCAGATTGTCACAAAGAATATGATCCTTAAATTCATAAAGAAATAATTGATTTGCCACTATGGTCTTCTAGAGAGAATAATCACGGATAACGCAAGAAATTTGAACAATAAGATGATCGATGAGATGTGCAAACAATTTTAGATTAAACATTTAAACTCGACAACTTATCGTCCGAATATGAACGTGGTAGTAGAGGCAGCTAATAAGAACATTAAAAAGATCATAAAAAAGATAACAACTACGTACAAGGATTGACATGAAATGTTTTCTTTTACATTATATGGATATCGTACAACAGTTCATACGTCGATTGAGGCAACCCCATGTTCATTAGTGTATGGCATGGAAACTGTTCTCTCATTAGAGGTTAACCTCGTTATTTAGAGGGCAACTTTATCAAAAGAAAATAATGCGAACTCATAAAAAGAAAATACATTATCATCATTTTCAAGAAGGAGATCTAGTATTGAAAAGAATACTTTCATTTCAAAAAAATCATCTAGGAAAATGGACTCCGAGCTATGAAGGTTTTTTTATGGTGAAAAAAGGTATTTTCAGGAGGAGCATTATTGTTGACAACCATGGATGAAGATGATTTGTCATTACCGATCAACTCATATTACATTAAGAGATACATTGCATGAAGCAGGAAGATACTTTACAAAAATTTTTACTGGGGCATTGGCAAGTTTGGAAGAACTATCTTTTGTTGTTTTCAACTTTTATTATCAAATACTTGTAATCTTTTCGTCATCAATAAGACCATACCTTTTGTTTCTTTTCAAATTCGATCATTTCTCATCTCATAGTATCTTTCTTTTTACCTATCGAATATGTCCTTTCTTTTGTCATTCTTTTCTCTCTTTTAAATTTAATTCTTCATCATCTTAAAGTTACGCACCTTTACTATCAAAATCATGATCTTGTCCATCCATCCCAATTTCTGCTATGACTATATACTATGTTGAGAATGTAAAATAGGATAGTAAAAAAAAAAAGGTGATGAGATGTCATAAGCATTGATACAATAAAAGTCTAATAAGATGAGTGTAAAGTTTCAGAATAAGACAAAACATCCAACGTGTTGGATCTCGCTCAATCAAATAAGGACAAGTTGTAGAATACCGATCATAAGGTTCTTGTTAAGAAGATTGTGTTCATCCATGATTCGTTGAAACATACATATCGAAAAGTAATGCAGTTTAGAGGTTAATATTTGGCAAAAACAAAAAAAAAAAGTTTTTGAAAAATTAGCATCGGGGCAATTGCGATTGAGAAGCTTTTACATCACATTTTTTATATGGCATATGCCTATCTCTAAAGAGAGTGTCTCGTAAAACATTACTTGCTTGTGTTAACCTTGTAGTTGACAGTAAGTGTTTACCACTGACTATCCATAAATATCAGTTGATAGTGATATCTATAAATATCAAATATCGGTTGACAACGATATCTATAAATACAAAATATCGGTTCACAGTGATATTTACAAATATCAAATATCGGTTGACTGTGATGTTTATAAATATTAAATATTGGTTGACATTGATGTCTATAAATATCAAATATCAGTTGACAGAGACATCTATAAATATCAAATAGCAGTTGAAAGATATGTCTATAAATATCAATTGACACTTAGCATACTTCTAGTTGTCCTTCGTCTCTTATCTATTATTCGATGAAAGTAGAATATCAAACAAATTGAAGTCTACATTTTTTTCCACCCTTTAATTTTATAAGGATGAACACATGAGAGCAAACTGTAGACCCCTGAATTTGTCCGACCTTCCATTTCATTATTCTTTTTATTTTATTTTTATTTAGTTTTTATTCATAATAATTCTCTTTCAAGAATATTTATTTTTCTTTATGGCAAATATTTTACTTCTTTGATGTTTTATATAAAAAAAAAAGAAATAAAATTAAAAAAAATATATCAAAAGTTAAACAATAAAAAAGGATCTTTTGATTCCTTGTTTTCTTAAAATAAAATCTTTTAGGTAAAATAAAATAAAATATTTCTTCTGGAAAAACTTTTAAATTTGATTTGTCAAAATTGGTAAAAAAAAAATCAATCTTGTAATTAATCATTTATCTTATTTTCTTTTCTTCTAAATATTAGTATATTAAATATAAAAATTGTTTTGTTTAAAGGTTTGATATTTTTCTTAAATGATCAAGACTCTTGTTTGTTATAAACAGGGGTAGGGTTTTAGAGAAAAAGGGGAGGAATCGATATTTCCAAAAAAAAACTCAGCCACCTAGATTGACATTTACTCATCGGAAGAATTGACAATTAACATCAACTTTCTATTAAATGATTTATAAAAATTAACGATAAGAACTAAAATAATTTTTCTTAATATAAAATTCAGAGACAAAAATAAAACAAGTATGAAAGCGTTTTTCCTAAACCAAAATAGGTTATATTTAAAATATAGATTCGCACTCTTTAATTTGTGCTATCAATTATTAAGATTTCAAAAGGCTTTATTTTAGACATTGTATGTAACTTTACACAAGCTTAAAGTAGTAGAATTGGAAAAAACTAAGGAAAGATTCTGAAAGATGAAACTCTCGATTGATTGTGACACTTGGAAGGTTAAGTTCATCATAGAAATGTTGAAAATCTTTTCAAGATATACAGGCTGTCACGTTTACTCTTGTAGAAAAGGGATAAAAAATTTGTAGATGTTGTAGGGAGATTTTCATGTACTATTGGATCAAGATGTGTAAAAAACTCCTCAAGCATATCTAGTTCTGAGCAATCTAATTATGTAGTAAGTTTTCAAGACAGAGAGACTGTCACGTTTACTCTTATAGAAAAACGATTCAAAATTTGTAGATGTTGTAGGGAGATTTTCATGTACTATTGGATCAGGATGTGTAAAAAGCTCCTCAAGCATATCTAGTTCTCGATGAAATAAATCTTCAAAACAATCTAATGATGTAGTAAGTTTTCAAGACAGAGAGGCTATCACGTTTTATAGAAAATGGATTCAAATTTGTAGATATGTAGGGAAA